CAAGTATTATATATCATTCGAAAGCTTATTGAATATACTTTATTATGCATTGCTTAGTTTTTGAAAGTTTTTAATTTTTAAATGGTAATAAAGCATGTTGCCATTACTTTTGGAACACCCTTAGTAACTTTTAATGCGGCATTAAAACTTAAACAATTGGGCACTATTGAAACATCACCAGCATAACCACCTTTTGTTGTACAACCAACTGTGCAAACTAGATTAACCCAATTTTGATGAAGTGTATTCACGGGCGATGCACACGCTACAGCTGGATAGAACCACGTATACGATTGTATAATTTGTATCCAAATCGGGGTTGTACGGTCAGTTGGATCAAGCGGTTTCCATGTGATTGTTCCTCCATCAAAATGTGTACTTTCAGCAGAATAAATTAAGAATGTTAATAAAACACATTAATTCCAAAAGTCTACTCATATCTAAACAAAATAAATTATTACTTCAAATACCGAACACAAAAATAACTGGCCACAGATAATTGCCGGGTAACAGATTAAGCTCGTCTTAGAATTGGACTTGAACAACCATTACTTCACAGAAAAACTCTGTAAGTATGCAAAAAATGTTTTAGTTATTACAATTTACTTCGCTCCTTTAGCCTACATGATAGAAAAGTTTTGTAACCCTCCTTTTTTTGTCTCAAAACAATGCTAATGATAGAGAAAGGTCCAGAAATCACACGGTCCAATGAACTAACATCCTGCTAAGCACTATTTTATTTTCGAAATACAAACTACACAATGTCGCAATGTAACTAATAGTGAGAAATTTTGATTTATTATTCACTAATAATACCGGTAAGATGAAATCTTCAGAATTTCACTCCAAAGAAGTTCTGTCTGCTGTTGAATATTAATTGTATTCTCTTATTTTCTTTCTCTTTGTTTGTTTCTATCAAATAAAAATTAATTATTTAATAACATTTTCAAGAGTTCACAACATTGTTTAATGTGACAATCGATAGTTGATTTTGGAGGCGGAAAAATAAGAGATAAAATAAAATACAACAAAATACAATAGACAGCCCCAGGATCGATATCTCCTTAGATGTGGTAATTCTGAAAACGAACGGAAACATAGGTGATCGACCACGCTGAATCTCGTGACGACATTTGTTTTTCAATTAACTTTCAAAAACCTTGTGAAAACCTATATTAGTTGAAATAACCCATTTTTACCTATTTTTGAGTAAAATTGTAGAATTCATAACCCAGTCAAGATCCGCCCAAATTATGTCAGAATAACAAGATGTACTCTGTTTTACCTGCTCTATATGTTTTTCTACTCAAGAATAGTAAAAAACATTCTTGTACTTCGGAGAATTTCTAGAAAACCTTTTCAAAAACCAAGGTATTTTCTGTCGATTTGTAAAGCGTATGTTGAACTGCATAGTATTGAGCAGGCAAAACAGAGTACACCTTGTTATTCTGACATGATTTGGATGAAGAATTATAATTTAGCTTAAAAATGTATTGAAACATGGGTTTTCACATATGCTTTATCAACTGGCATCCTTAAAAGTGGTTTTTGACAATTTCTAAGCTTGGACCTCTAGAAATCCAGGTTTTCCGGAAATCCTTTGCTGAGCCGGTTTTCAGAAAACTGAGCCGGCCATTCAATCCAGGGTGTCAAAATACGTATAATCATATAATCTGAGGCTTTATGTACTAGCCAAAACAATTCTAGAGATATGTTTCGGGGTGGGACATTTTCATGTATTTTTCAAATTTCTTCCTTTTTAGAAATAAGCTGAAGCCTTGCTATTTACAGCATAACTTGTGCTACCCATTTGACATATATGGTAAAAAAACGGGTTCTCAATTCTATGCAGTTCGGTCAGGGGAGAATCAAAAGGGGGTGGGACAAATTGTACGTCGCAGGCCACTGGACGCCAGTAAAATGTCAATTACTCAAAAAGGAAAAAAGCTAGCCTACTTTATCTTTTCATGGAAAAATATTTGACTTAAGGTGCTTATTGGCTGCACAGTAGACTCAAACGGGGGTGGGACACGATTTTTGAACTTTTCGAGGACCAGAAATTTCATCGAAGTTTTCACAGAAACTAAAAGAGATTAGGCAAAACTAAGACTGCAGATTGACAGAGCAGATAAAATACTGCACAAAAGCAAAAAAGATTTTGTTCCGCTGCCCCTTAAGAGAAGAAAAATGTTAATTAAGAAAAAAGAACGAGCGGGAACCACTAAGAAAAGAAGGGAAAAATAACCCAAAAACAAAGCGTTTTGCTTACTGTACACTAAGCAAATAAGACAGAAAAAAGATCTTAGCAGTATATATAGAGTAAAGTGTTCGGAATAACATGGCATAAGCTTCTAAAAGCTCGATTTAGTATTAACGGAGAATCATGCATTTCCACTGGCTTAAGTCTAACGGTATAATAATACTTGTGTCATTTGAATGGTGTGTGTATATATCAGCTCATCTAATCATTCATCCATATCGATACACATAAATTTATATACGCTAAATGAACTCAATTAATGTTAACTACACTTTCTTTCTAACTCGCTCTTATTCATAAGGGTTCACGGTCACATTATTTTTTGTTCTCTTATCTTAAGTGGATGTTGCATCGTTAACGTACATTATAAAAACTGTCAGGTAGGTTTAGTATTCTCATATTATTATTTTTTTACATAATTATAGTGAGAGATAAAAACTTTTGTATTCGAAACAACGTGGACATTAGGGAGAAAAACGAAAGTGCACTTTGTCAAGATTTGAATAGCAGGTTGTATCTTTCCACACATGTCCTATCGACTTGGCACTGGAAGTTTTTTCAAACTGCCATAGTTAGTCAGAAAAATGAGAGCGAAATTGTTTTTGAAAAACAGAAATATGAAGATAGAAGAGCTGTTCTTAACAAAACGAAATACAATGTTTACAGAAATCATACACAGTTTAAAACTAGACCCTCCACTTTATCTATTCGTAAAAAGTAGTTTTTTTTTGGGACGTTTTGTGACCGAGAAAATACTCTTATTCTGCGCAAAATGTTTTCCGCGGCAGCTGAGCGGCTACCACGAGTTTTGAAATTTGAAATTAAAAAGAAGCCGAAAGCTTTCAAACAACTTTCTATAGGTTTTCAACGATGCTCTTTGCAACGATGAAATGGTTTTCAAGTTTTGAAAAGGCTTTTTAAGCGATTTTCCAAAGATTGGACCTCCAGGCAACCGCTTAGAAAACCTTTTAGACGCTCAAAAACTATTCCATCGGAAAGAGCATCGTTGAAAACCTACAAAAAAAGTGTGCTCGAACTTTTACACTGCTTAAAAAAGCCCATGTCCACGTGCTTAGTCAGAATTGCCCACCGTGAGGAAGTGGTAGCACTTTATCAGCGAAAATCCAGCTGGATTAAAGTTCATCTTTGGTGTCCTATTTTAGAGCCAGAATCGGATCGGTCTTTTTTGTGTGTCGGTGTACTAGTGAACGGCTTTTTTTGCTATTAATTTTGCAGCTATCAGCCTACGGACAAAAGTAGTCTTCCTGATTATCTAAAATCATGTCCTCCAAGACTGTCACTAATGACCAAGATGACAAAGACACATCGGAAGTGGCTGCGGTAAAATCTACAATATTGCGATATTTAGTCAATCGTTATTCATTTTTAACTTATGAGTTTAATGATCAAGGCCAAGATACCGCAATGCTACTCAACAGTAGTGCATTCGATGACGGCGGTATTTATACCTATGAAAATTCTTTTTCCACACCATCAATACACTTCACGCTCGTATTCAAAGAGAAATTATCTGTTGATAGCGATACATTGGATAGTGTTAAACAGAAATTCAAATCGATCACATTTGATCAACTACCGCTACCAGAGGAAGGCGGATATGCCATTACTCTTCCATCAGACTGGTTATTGACAGTAAAGACTCGATCATTGCACAACACTGATGACGCCATAACAAATGTTATTACAATCGAATCATTTGACAATAATGAGGGACAGGGACGTCTGAGAATGATGGTATTTACAAGACAGTTTACTATTTTCGGTCGAAAGATCGTGGAGTCTGAAACGTCAGATATTCAATTGACTTCACATGGACAAGTACAAGGAATAGTTAGAATTGATTTGCTAATTAAAAGTGATTAGTGATGCTTTTTACTGTGCTGTCAAAATTCGAAGACGAACTCAATGAATACTGAAATTAATCTAGCTTAATTTTCTTTATTTTTTTCTTTATTGCTTTTTGGTCCTGACAGTAGTGCATTTATACGTGTATAAGATATAGACTGAAAAAAATTACATCACTTTTTACTAGCGACCAGCATCGGGTTTTCAAGGATTTGGATTTTAGCTCAATGAAAGCTTAGCGTGTGAACTATATTTTTTTTGAAGCCATGGTTAAATAGAGCAGTAATATAGCTTTCAGACATGAGGTTCGCCTATCGGAAAAAATCATTACTCTAAGTATAACAAAGAAAAAATCTGGAAAAACCCAAAGTCTCGGATTCTTCCCGGTTCTTTTCGGTTTTCATGTTAGTGTTAGGTATGCATGGGGATTGACTAAATATCGCAATATTGTAGATTTTACCGCAGCCACTTCCGATGTGTCTTTGTCATCTTGGTCATTAGTGACAGTCTTGGAGGACATGATTTTAGATAATCAGGAAGA